GCTGACTCACACATCACTAAAGCAGCACTTGAGCTCAGCATTTCTGCCCCAGGGACTGCAGCCCCACACTTCAGAGCTCCTTATATTAATTACTCTGGAGCTGCAAGCACATCAGTCATGTTTCTGTTAATTTCTTCCCACCACCCACCCAGGACCCTCCACATCCCCCCATGCTTGGCAGGGACACAGGGCCCCACAGCTCACTGCTCACCTTCCAGCGAGGCAGGCAGTCGCTCGGCTTCCAGTGGCCTCCCAGTTTAATTGAAGGGTCTCTTGAGAAGAACTGGTGGATGTCCTCCATTGTGATCTCACTCATATTTACATCGATGGGGCCCTCTGCAGGGAGAAGCCAAGGAGGGGTCAGGAACCACTGTGGTCCTGGGGCACTGCATGCATGCTCAGGGCAGCACTCTGCTGCATCCCTGGCTCTATCCCCAGCACTGGATGCAGGCAGCCTCTACTTTTCCCCAAGCACCAACAAAAATGATTAGGAAATGCTGCTGGCAGGACTTGTAACACCTCCACCACCTCAGCAGTTGGGCTCTGTGGCTGCTGTTGGATGCAGCTCTCCATTAGAGCCCCACACCAGCTGGGGCACCCTTCTACTCCTCTGTAGCAGAGCCAAAACCCCACACCTCAGCAAAGAGCATTTTCCCCCTTTGAGGAAAAATGTACCCCAAAAGCTCAATTTTCCACGGCTTTGGTGGAAGTGTTTCCTCCAGCTGCAGCTCCCTTGGGGAGGGCCAGCCTGTCTCCTGCACCGGCCCCTGCCCAGCTGTACCGGGCACAGTCCAGGGCTGGGACCAGCAGTGCTTTTGAGGGCTAAAGGAGCCAGCCCACTGCTGCTGTCCCTGGAAAAGGGCTGGCTGAGCCTTTCCACCAGCTCCCAGCACACAATCCCTCTTTTGTTTGTGTTTGCCAAGCAATGGGCTCCTGCTTCAGCAGGGAGATGGGCCTCCGACGTAGCAGGGATTAATTCATGTGAGAGGGTAAACAACGATTTCCCAGGAGGGGACGGGGCTCCAAACAGTGCTCCCATTCATCCCAAGTGCCCAGCAGGGAAAAGTACAATGCCAGAGAGCTGGGGAACACCATGGAGTGTGCTCTCCAAAGGCACATGGTGCAGGAGGGGCACAGGGCCATCGGGATGCTACTCACTCATAGAAGGGAGCCTCTCAGGACAGGTGTGGTTGGGGAAGTAGGTAAAGTCTTCAGGAAGAAATGTTGTGGCTTGCAGAAAGGTTTCATTGTGGTTCAGATCAAGAGGATAATCTGGGGAATGGAACAACAACAACAAAAAAAAGATAAAAGTTTACACTTGAGCTGCAGGTCGTTGCTATTTCCAGCCACCTCCCCGTGCCACGGTGAGCAGACTCCAAAGCCGCCTATGGCTGAAGATGTCCCCAGTGGCATGGAGGTGTCCCCACACAACACAAGGAGTACACTTGCAACCGAGCTCCCTTAGACAACACCACAGAGAAACCTTCACATTTTCTAGCCAAATAAAGAATTTTGAGTGCCACCTTTAGATAACACAAACAGCTCAAAGTAAAGGAGCACATGGTGCTTACGAGGAAAAGCTACTTAGCACCACATCCCTGAAGGACTACAGCACAGCAACAGGAGACATGCTCCTCCTGTGTATCTTTTCCTAGTGGTCTCAGAAAGGGAAGTCCCCAGAAAGACCCCAAGGCCAGCAAGGACTGTCAGTGCAGCAGCCTGCACAGGGAAATCCTGCCTTGCATCCTCCTCAGAAGATCAACAATAACTATCACGTTACATGCAGTCTTTCCTCCCATTTGTATCGTGCAAAAGCAGCAGAGCCCCCATGCCCAGAAGTCAGGGCAGTGCCCACAGAGCACAGTTCTCCAGCCTCCCCATTCCCCTGCATCCTTTTACCTTCTGGGCAAACCCCTCCAGCCTGTAACACCTGTAAATGTTTTAAGGAGGTTTTCAATTAACCATGAACTTCTGCTTTATACAGTAAGAGTTATGTTATGTATAAAAGTTAGGCTTTGCATAAGGCATCTTCAGGCACTACAAAAAATTCTCAGCCTGTATTAAGGCATCAGCTGCAACAGGAGGATACTGCCTCTCCACTTTCTCCAAGTATCAGATGCTTAGCAGAGGGTTGGCCTTTCAGTCCTACAGCACACAGGGCAGCACCAGCACCAACCTTACATGCCACAGAGATCCTGGAAAGTGGACATATAGCGCTGAGCCACCCAGTCCCATCACAGGTAGACCCTGTCTAGGGCCTAGACCTACCAGGACGAGAAGCTCTCATCCTTTCCCATTACTTCACCATGCATAGGCATTCCT